GAACGATGTAAGAATGTGTTGTAGCATTTTTTGACTTTACACGAGCCAAAGTACCATTTTTCCCTTCATGCAAAAGTGTTCTAGTGGAATGAAACCCTAACTTCAAGCTAACTTAATCGATATTTAGAATTTTATCGAGTGCATAATTCTTCATCATTCATTTCACATCAATTAAAAAGGAATCGACAGGCGCAATTATACTATTAGAATCGTCTGCATGACGACGGATCACTGGTTTCGTCAATTTTCTCGAACAAATGCGATGATGATGTTTGAATACCCCAAACCAATGTTCGTATGCTTGACACATAAGCGTCCTGGATCTTCAGTAGCTTTTTGGAATGTCCATCATTTCAAATCTCGATCGTGAACAGAGAGAGCACTATTTCGAGTTTCTTCAAACTTGTCATAGACAAAATCATCGATAGTCTGTATCTTCTCTCGTTTTATATCATGTTGTTTAGTGTAGTGACGGAAACGAGCAATATATTGTCGATGAAAAACAGATTTGAATCACACGCGTCGTAATACTCAATAACTTTTCGCATGTAATTGAGGCTGAAGTTCGCTTGAATTGAGATCTTCTTACCTTCTACAGTCGTATCAAAAAATGGGATCAATATTTTCATTGTTTGAATAAGCACTTTCATCTTCGAAGTCACTGAACTCTTCATCGTCATCGTGCTCACCCAGATGTTTTTCTAGAAAGAAGTATTTAAGAATTTGGAGCCTATGACAACTTTTGTTCTACTCATCAAGATTTATCTTCTCTAAAAGTCTCAAATATTTCTGACGAACTGTTCTTCAATAACTCCAGAAAAGAGAGAGATTCTCTTGAAGTCGAATCAAAGTCTCTAGAATTTTTGTTTTTCGCAGGAAAATATTTGATGACACAACATTAATTCGAATGTTTTATTTGAAATTATTTATTGAATCGATTTTGTATCAACACAAAAAGTAATAAACATAAAACATTTAATAATTTTTTAAAATTAGTTATATCTAATCGAAAAGCTCTACTATACGATTGTGCAACTACAGTATAAATATAAACAGGTGTTGTATCAATACATCGAATTAATGTACTTGATGCATTAAAAGTCGTAATTGGATCACAAGGTAAATTTTGTTGTATTGCATTTATAGTTGTATTTACTTCTTTAGTATTAACTGGACGTCGTGATGGATTTGTTTCTATATAAGAACAAACAAAAAAGCAAAGAGTAATGAATCGAATTTAATAATTAATTTTACCTGGTAAAAATCCAAGTAGAATACAAATTCCAATAAGTAAACCTAATGATAAAAGTAAACATGTAAGCCAACAACAACATGGACAACTATAATACCATTCACAAAAATTACAATGTGGACAACGACGAGCACATTTTCCATGACACCATTTACAAAATTTATAAGATTTTGGTTTATATGTCTAGTCAAAAAAGAGACACAGAAATGAAAGATATTGTTTTTCTTTTCTTTAGAATAAAAACTTACACCATCAGGAAATGCTTCTTCATAATAATCTTCATCCGATATATAAACATCACGTTCAAGATCAAGTGGAATATTTTTTTCTCGTTTTTTCCATTGTTTTCTTGGTGATGTACCACGATGAACAAGTGGAGTTTCAGATACAATAGCAACTGGTGCGTCAGCAAGTGTACGACGATTTTTTTTAGCAACTGGTACAATTAAATCATTATTAGAACTAGTATTTGTTGAGGATGTAGCTATACGAACAACACGTGGTTCTTGTTGTCGTCGTTTTACTAAAGAAACTGGTGGAAGAGGAGATGATACTGATGAAGCTGACTCAGATTCTGTTGAAAGTGGACTTCGTTCTCTAATAGTACGTGTTGTTCTTGTATGAGGATAATAACGTTTGATGTATGCAGTTGGTTGTGGAGATTTCACTTCTACAATACGTACAGTTGATGTCGATGGTGTTGATTGACGTCGTCGAGATATATATATTTTTGAATCAGGTGAAGGAGATCGAACGTATGGAATTGATATATGATTATCATAACCACGAGTATGTTTTTGATATACAGGTAATCGATAAACATGTAATGCTCGAGAATCATTAGTACTACTTGAAGAAGCAGACATAGGATTATATTTTAGTAAGAAATACTCTAAAATAGATAATTAAATTTCAAATTCATGATATCTTAAAATTTCAAAATTTATGTAGAATAAATTAACTCGATTCAACATGAGAGTGATGTAAAACAAAATAAAATAAAATTTGTATGATTGATGACAAAAAAGTAAGACATTTTTATTAAAAATTAGTTCAGTTCTAACTTAATATATGATCATAAGACACGAACAGTTAATTTATTAAATGATGTAGAAATATCGTAGTTAGTGGCGGAACTAAGGGTGGATCATGGTAAACAGAACCTACTCTGAGAGAGAGAGGTAGAAAACTACGTTAAAAAAAAACTTTTTGTGTGGATTATGGTGGGTTCAACCTATTCTGAGCTGAAACACTGGCTTTGGCACTAATCGTAGTCTTAAAAATCTTACTAGAAGATTCTTAAAAGATCTTGCTACCACTATAAGATCATAGAAAATCTTATATGACGATCAGATCTTTCAAGAATCTAGTTGTATGATTTCATTTAATCTTACAACTGATTTTTTTTTGTCAAATAAATAATTATTTCTACCTGATGTATTATTTTTAATTCTGATCATCTATATTCTCTATCAACCATTTTTTTTTCACCGTAACTATATCAATCAACAACGACAAACTCTGTCAAACAGCATCTATGTCATTATATATTAACATGCATATTTTTTTTTTGTAATAAAATAAATCATTTGATCTCCTGTTGATTTTCTTTCTTCTTTTTCTTTTTTTTATCTTGACAAGAGTGCAATTTAAAAAAAAATGAATTTTATCGCAAAGCAACAGCACAATACTTTTAAACAGTTAATTGAAATCTGATTTTTGCTTTTTCATTTAGTTTTCCTTTCAGAAATGTTTTGAAAAACTTCCACAATCAAAAATTTTGTGACTAGCCCGTCGTTTATATTAATACAATAATAAAAAACAGATTTCCTTTTTTTCAACTTTGTATTCTAGTCCGCGTATGATATGTCATATCGAAGAATCTCATAGAAAGAAATCATACGGATTCCAATATAAGAAAAAACTTACGAATTTATATGAAAGAGAATTATTTTGTACCCCTTCATAATGTTATCAAAATCTTACCACTATTTTCATACTAAAATAAGATATGAAAACGATATTTGTATTTGTTTCTACCTTAATCTATTGATTAAACGATACCCTTTACGATTCAGTGATACATCTAGAAATCGTGTATGCTAAATATAGAAATAGTTGGTGCTAGAAAAAGACATATTTAAATTGTACGAAATAGCTTTTGATGGTATCTAATATATCTGCTTTATGCTAATTGAATTATACAGAATTTTTTAACAAATGAGAAAAAGTAAACAGATAATTGATATCAGATCTCGAAATAGACTGCCAGTCTGAATTTTACCTCTTTTTTCATGGAAAATTTTCCATGTAAAGAAAAACACAAACGAAAATCTAATTGAAATCGATTTTTTTTTCTAACTAAAATTCGATTACTAATGCCGGATTTTTTTAAAAAGTACCAACGACTGTTTTTTGAATAACACTTTTCAACGGCCCAAGTTATAGAGATCGGGTTTTCACCGTTAGAAAGAGCAAGGCGGGGGAGGTCGATCCGTATAAAATTCATTAGGTTTACAAGTCTTTTGTATGATTGTTTTCAGTCAAATATCTTATCAGTTGTCTATTTTCATAAGTTTTCATAATAAGTAAACATCTAATTGGACCAAAATGTAGCCCAAATTGTCCGATGTTTGTGCTAAAATTTCCACATTTTAATATCAAGGCGTAAGGAAATAAACGCAAAGATTTGAAAATTTTAGCACACATACTGAATAATTTGGGCTGCATTTTGGTCTAATTAGATGTTAACTTATTATGAAAGCTTATAAAAATAGACAACCGATAAGATATTTGACTGCAAACAACAATACAAAAGACTTGTAAACTTAATGAATTTTATACAGATCGACATCCCCCACCTCGCTCTTTCTAACGGTGAAAATCCGACCTCTATAACTTGAACCATTGAAAAGTTATTGAAAAAATAGTTGTTGGCACTTTTAAAATAATCCGACATTAGTTGAATTCAATAAAAGTCTAATTTCTTGACTTTGAAGATGGATTTTAATCTTTCTTAATAGACTTTATCCTAATCTTTTTGTCAAAACTTTTTGTGCAAGATTCTTCACCTTGCAACTCATAACAATCAGGAATCTTTATTATGCGAACGTTTTGAAAGTTTTATTTAACCAATAAATCAAAGCAGAACATTTAACCAGTTCAATGGCATTCCTCATTCATAGACAAGACTAAGTTTACTATCAAATGTGTTACATAGCATGATTGAAATTGATCAACAGGCACTTTACCTATGAAAGCTGATGTTAATAAAGGATAGTCTTCAAGAAATGAAAATACCCACAATCGCATCTTGCTCTTTCAATTCAATAAGTAATTCAACTTATCTCTCATATGCTGTTTTTCAAATATTAAAATTGTTCGATCTTATTCAAATTATGTACACTATGATAATAAACTTTTTACAATATTCTAATAAATGATTGTAGTGACTGTGAAATTTCGTCGCGTAGAAATCTGATTGACATCCATGAGAGTCATAAAGATCAATTGCTTTGGCTATGTTCTTTGTTATTAATACATTTGAAATTTAGTCAATGTATTTTTAAGTATATATTTTTTTTTTCAGAAAACAGGTTTAAAGGATTAAGAAAATTTATTTTTATTATTGAATGCTTTGATAAATTATATTCAGATAATATTTCACCAGTATGTACGAAAAAACGTAAAAATATTATTGTAATTTATATTTATACATATTCTTAGTTTATAAGAAAAAAAATTCACTTTAAAAACAAATTAAATAAATAAATATTAGAATTACAATAAGAATAACATTAAGTTTAAAACTAAAATAAAAATGTCGAGGTTTATGTCCTGTTTCGGCAATTATTTTTCGTTCATCATGTAAATCTTTAAGACGTTCAGGACGATATATACCAAAATATTCTGATATCCAATTACTTGTTCTATGTAATGTTAAGCCCATATCATTCAAATAAATTTCTAATGGTGCTGACCAATAATATCTATAGTCATATTCGCTTCGATTAAATATCTTTTTAACAAATGTATGATGTGTTTCAATTTCTTCGTACATTTTTTCTTCTGAATCTGGTAATTTAAGTCGTTTGAGAAAATAATTTGATATCCAATGACTTGCTACTTCAGCAATCATCCAAAGACCTAAAGATCCTGTAAAACCAATAAATGCTATATTAGGTATGCCAATAGGTATAACTCGACGATAAAGATTAAATGTAATATCTTCATTGAGCGTTTTTAAGCCCATCATTTGAGTATGTTCTTCAGAAAAAAAATGAAAACGTCGAATATATCCTGTTGCTGATATAATCATATCAGCTTGTAATTTTTCTCCTGAATTTAATCGTATTGTTGTTTCATCAATAATTTCATCAATTGTTCCGAATTTTCCGATAATATAACCTTCATGTTTAAGTCGAATAAAATCATTTGGTATAATTGAAATATTTTCTATATTTTGAAACGAATATTGAGGAATAAATATTTTATCATTGAACAGATTAGGTCCATGAATAGACATCATATCATTTGATAGAATATCGATCATTGTTGTAAATATTTTTGGAAATTGTTTATGAAGAAAACGAAATAAACTACCATATGGTGCACCAGGAATTGGAATAAATGGAATAGATAATGCACGAGTACATAAAATTCGTACTGGCAATAGACCATTCATAATTCTTCGTGGAATCATCCAATGAGCTTTTCGAAAAACTAAATAACATGAACGAGCGTAACGACCAGCTAAAGTTGCCATATCTGTTGCACATTTACCACCACCAACTATTATTATACGTTTATTTACTAATTGTTTATGTGATTTAATATCAAATGGAGATACAATTGAACCAGCAAAATGACTTTGACCACGATAAATTGGTATATATGGTTCTGAATAAAGACCACTAGCTACAATAACAAAATCAAATTCATGTGTTTCTTTTTTGCCATGAATTGTTTCAGTTTGAATAATCCAAGGAATATTATCATTTTTTAAATCATCTTTAAAAACTGATATAACTCGAGTCTGAAATTGAATTCGTTCAGTAATATGAAATAGATCAGCATATTTTTGTAAATATTCATGTATATGTTGCCAAGAAGCAAATTCTTAAATTGATTGTAGAAAATATATATATATATATAAATAATAAAAATAGACTTTACCTACTCCATCATATAGATCAGAAAATTCCAATGTTCCTCCTGGTTGTTGACTATGTAAATCTACATATGCTAATTTTGAAGACCAGATACCACCTAATTCTTCTTGTCGATCGAAAAGACTTACATTGAAACCATCATCCAATAATACTTTAGCACATACTAAGCCACAAGCACCAGCACCAATAATAGCTACTGTTTTCGATCTTGACATAGTTTTTGCTTATATTAAACTACAAAAATCGATAAAGCATGTATTGATATTATATATATATATTAGTAAATAGACATTACATTTTCTTCTACCTTTTTCACCATAACAAAAAGGAGAAATAAGTTGAAACGATGTAGCATGGTCGAATGAGCACGGTAAATTAGTATATGATGTCTTACGATAAAAATAAAGTCAATCACGTCATAAATGTGTCATAATAATAAATAAGCAAAGTAAAATAAGATTAAATTGTGACTAAATATATAATATTTGACAATCTCATTTTTATTCGATCACATAGAACAAAGGATATGTGCGTAAGCATTTTTGATCGTTAAGTATTCTATTGTACAAACAATATTTGAAGACTAATAAAAAACATAATGGCAAGAAAAATAGTTTAAAAAATGGTATTATCTGAGAAAAATTTACAGTTCAGATTGATTTATAATATTTTTGATTAAAGTATGCATAATTCAAAACTTCAGGAAAAAAACTTTTTTTTTTATTAGCATGGGATAGAACTCATCGAGTTACATAGAAAAAAATAATTTTTTCTTCATAAAACAAATTCTAAATACTATTGTCCGTTTCAAAATATAATGTCCGTCATTGTTTTTTGAATAACTCGAGAACATAAGCAGCTTGAGACTTGCGGTTTTCACCAATCAAAAGAGGAGATCGGGAGACGTCTTTTTCTTCAATAATGTGTAAGAAAAAATCCTTTTAAAACAAATTATTCTAGAAAAACATGTAAAAGAAGGCATGAAAATAACCTGTCATCTAGATGAAATTTTGATTTTGACCTTTGATTTAGATAGAAGGACCTCAAATCTATAGTTCAAGATACAATGCAGATTGGTTCTCTTATTACATTCTAACGTTGAACAAATTGAATATGTGTTTACATTCGCAAATAAAAGGAATTTTTACTAAATTTTCTCACTTTTTATCATAACGGCTGGACATTTTGATGGAAACGTAGTGAAAAGTAAGGAAACGCACTATATCTTGAACTATAGGTTTGAGGTTTCTCTATCTAAATCAAAGGTCAAAATCAAAATTTCATCTAGATGACAGGTCATTTTCATGCCTTCCTTTACATGTTTTTCGAAAATAATTCGTTTTAAAAGGATTTTTTTTCTTACACATTATTGGAGAAAAAGACGTCCTCCGATCTTCTCTTTCGATTAGTAAAAATCGCAAGTCTCTAGCTGCTTGCGTTCTCGAGTTATTCAAAAAACAGAGGCCGGCATTATATTTTGAAACGGACAATAGTATGAGAAAAAATGAGCCCAGGTACTGATTCATATGACCTATTTTTTCTTTTACAATACGTTACATTTTTCGATCGAATTTTTTTCTCTTTACAATCTAATATTTAGTTTAGAAATATAATCAAAACACATATATATATATATACATATCAATGTTTCGATTATTTTTCTAAGTTCAATATTGAATGAGAACGAATAAAAAAAAAAATTCGATTTAAAAATGTAACATATTGTAGAAGAAAAAAATAGGCCACATAAATCAGTATCTGAACTAATTTTTTTCATGAAAACGATTTTTTTTAAATCGAAAATATATTTTTGTTTTTCTATGCAACTTGAAAATTTTGCTGAAGTTTTGAATTGTATACATCTTACATAAATTTAAACTAAACTCTTCAATTTTCATCGTAATTTAAATAAAAAATAAAAATCTAAATAATTCATTTAGAAAACTTCTGAAGACCAAAAATGACCATTTCTTTTCTTTCTAAATATATTAATGATTATAATATAATCAATTAGTTCAATAGCTTGAATTGATCAAGATGTATTTTATTTGTTTATTCATGTCTGATGATAGGTATATATAGACTTCAAACAATAATCGGAAATACTCATTATTAATAAGCCATCAAACTACTACTCTTTAATCGTTTCTAATTGGACGAGAACTCGTTTTTTTTTTTCAACAAAAAATTAAGCCTGTTTCCTTTTCTTTCTTTCTTTCTTTCTTTTTTTTTTTGTTTGAGCTATGTAAATAATAAATCGATCTAAACCATTCTTTTTTTTCTCTTCCTCGCTTATTTAACTGTAATACATCCAATCGTGGACAACAATAACGATTGAAAGAGAAAAACTTCTATGTTCTCTCTTTCTCTCTCTACCAATCATTTGTCATACGATTGATAGGAAGCCAATTGTATTTCTGTCTGTGTCAGCGCGATCAGATTAATACAACATTCGTTTGATCGACGATAATGACAGATATTAAACATAGTCAAGAGATTAACTGGAAAAACGAAACTTATTCACATTATCATTATCATTCAATGAATATTCATACTCATCAATCAAGTGATAGTTCTAACAAAGAAATCAAAATGATAGGATTAGAAAATATTGAAAAAGAAGAATGTGATAGTTTAAGTGGTTACAGTGATGAAGAAAATCATAAACGAAAACAACGACGTTATAGGTAAAAAAAGAAAAATACATTAATTATTAAATTTTTCTTTTTAAAATTTAAGAACAACATTTACTTCATTGCAATTAGAAGAATTAGAGAAAGCATTTCAACGTACACATTATCCAGATGTTTTTATGAGGTAAATTCTTCGAAATTTTTCAATGTATCTTATCAAACATAGATGATGGAACATTTCGAATCTATAATAGGCTCAACAATCTTTATAAGATATCCACTAGAAAGTTAAGAATAGGATAAATCATAGTTAGTGGTTCTTATTTCCAATTCACATTTTAAACTTTATAGAGTTGGCAAGATTCAGAAAAAGATCACAACTTGTATCAAAAGATGTGTATTATTTAAATAAACACACCTATATTTTGTTTTTATTTAATTTCGACTGTGAAAATTCGAATTATAATGAAAAGCTTGAGATGAATCTTTTTTTTCTTTTGTCTAAATGAATATTTAATAGCTTTTGCTGATTGAGATCGTGAGATTCTTTTTTTGTTTTAAACAATATTGTTGAGCATAATTTATTTTTATTCATTGATTAACAATTATATGAACTGTATAATAAGAAGTACTTAATATTAAGAGCTTCATACATTTCCCATACATATTTCTACATAATGATGTTTATCTTTTCTTTTCTTTTCTTTTCTTTTTTTTTTATAAACCAATGGTTTAACAACTACCTATTGTCAACACTTCATAATTATATTCACAGTAGGAAAATTATTGTGATATACACTTATCACACGAAGAAGTGAGCTATTATTTAGGTGATAAATTTCTGATTGTTTGATGAGTTTTGTTTTGAGAACAGCTTCTTTTTTTTTTCTTACACATTATTGTGACAAAATGAATAGAATAGAAAAGATAAATCAGTTGTTATTTTATTTGATTGCAAAATTATGTTTTTCACACTATTCTACTTTTTAATATCAGATTATCGACTCAGTTACTATTTATTAACTTAGGTGGGCAATATATTTCTATACAATGTGATTATTAACAGATGTTGAGTATCTCAACATGAAACAAAAATCTTGAGTTGAACATGTCTACAGATCGTTGTTTTTATTTATTAAAGGATTAAAATAAAACATGTATGTATAACGCTGATATTTTCCACTGTTGATAAATCGTACCATCTTTGTATAGAGCAGGCCACTTTTTTATGGCCCGGATCCTAAAGAAATTTCATTTACAAAGATTTTTTTTCTTAATAGATATCTATTCCATATTTTTCGGCTTTTATAAAAAGTGATGACCAAGGGAGAGTAGTGTGGAGAAGCTTCCCTATCACCCTCAGGGATGAGCCAAATCTCAGAAAAACTTATGTCAAAAAAGAATAAAATTGTCGGGCCGGGCGACTCGTTTCGAGATCTGCTATAGAGTTAGATTCATTTCCTGAATTTTCATTAACAAAGATAGTATGTTAATACTGTATAAAACCCTCAATTGCGAACCAGTGAGGCTTGATCAGTTTTAGTCACTTTATTCGGATAATTAATCGTTTCGGTTAAGACGATCAAGAAAAAATATTATGTTTTCTTTTCGGACATAAACTGAAATACAAGATTTTTTAAAAAATATTTATGCTAATTTATTTTTATTTTTTAAAGAGAAGAATTAGCTATGCGTATTGATCTAACTGAAGCACGTGTTCAAGTATGGTTTCAAAATCGACGTGCTAAATGGCGTAAACGTGAAAAAATCAATTCACCAATAACATTATCAACTACATCGACACAAATATATCCATTATTTACACCTCCAACAAGTCTTCTTACTTGTCTTAGTTCATTTTCTCAAGCAGAAATTTTATCATCATATTCATCACTTACATCATCATTTCTTAATGCAACATCAACATGTTTACCAATGTTTTCATCAATAACACCATTTTGGTCATCAACAAATCAATTTGGAATGACATTTTTACAACAATTAGCACAATTAGCTTCAATATCTTATGAAGATATAAAAGATCAAAATATTAATAAGAACAGTAATAATATATTAGAAGAACAAAATTTTGAAAAAGAAGAAAATCATCGAATCAATAGTAAAGCTACATTAAATCTTAAAGCACTTGAACATACAAATAAAAAATCTGAATTCTCATCGTTTACTATTGATTTTTAACGGTCAATTTAAACGCGAAACAAAAGAAAAATAATCATTTCTTGTTTGTATGTTCTTTTCTTCTGTACAAAAAAAAAAAAATGAAACATATAAGTGTGAGAATAAATGAAATGATTTCCTGTCATCAAATAAACAAATATATAGGTGTACTTCGGCTTGTTCAACATAAAACATTTATAAATTAATGATTGTTAGTTTAAGGCACATGATGTGTCAATTTAATACATTCATTTAAATAAGCAGATGTGCTATTTCATTCATTTGTTAATAAGTATATGTATTATGAAACAAAATCGATCGATGACGAATAATTTTTATATTTGTTTAAAATAAGAGAATAAATATTTGAATAGAATAGCTTTTAAGAGATGAATTATGAAAAA